TCTTTTTGTTTATTTATTTTTTGTTTTTTTTTCTTTTTCGAGACAGGATTTCTCTGTGTAGCTTTGGTGCCTGGCCTGAACTCACTCTGTAGACCAAGTTAGCCTTGAACTCACAGAGATCTGCCTGCCTCTGCCTCCTAAGTGCTGGGATTAAAGCCTTGCGCCACCACCACTCAGCACAATTGTACTGGGCACTAAGCTCATATGTGGTACACAGACATACATACATGCAGATCAGTCACATAAAATAAAATGAATAAATTCAGACCCCATGTTTGCCAGTTAAGTCTCCGTGAGCCCATGTGGCCCTGCTTAGTTGATTCAGTGGGCAATGTTTTCCTGGCCACACCCAGTTTTATATGATACTTTAGATCAAACCTGGGGCTTCATGTACACTATTCAGAAACTCCACTATCTGAACTACATCCCCAGTCTTTCTGTCGAAACTCTTGAACCTATGTTGTTACTTCATTGACATTTGAATCTCATAGTTGGGAAACAGTTTCCTGGATAAAGCATTTGCTGTGCAAATATAAGGATCAGAGCTTGGATCTCCAGCATCCACAGAAATGCTGGGTGGGTGTGGAAGCTCACCTGTAACCCCAGTATGTGGGAGGAGGAGACAGGATATCCCCAGGGCAAGTGGATAGCCAGACTAGCTAAATAAGAAAGCACTGTGATCAAGTGAGAGACCGTGACTCAGTATCCAAAGTGAAGAGTGATCAAGAAAGATACCTGATATCAAACTCCGGCCTATACACACACACACACACACACACACACAGTCAAAAGAACTGAATGTATATATTCCACACAGATGGAACTCAAAGTGAAAAACTGTGTCTTTCTACATAGAATAAGATGTTTCCCACAGTATCTCTGTGACTCCTACAGTAGATCTCACACACAAAACTTCTAGAAAAAGACAAGAACCGGCTAGTTTTCCAGAACGTAGTTCACGACTACGGCTGGGTATCCTGACAATTCAACCTTTTCCCCAGACAGCTGGTTCCTCCACTGCCTGGTGTGGGGCTGTGTTCTCCTGGTCTTCTGTGACCAATAAGGTGAAGGGGAAAATGACGGGGAAAGCTGAAAATAGCTCTTCCACAAAAGGGGAAATGTTGACAAGACACAGCTGGAACACCCTCAGAGGCCAGCCACAGGTTGAGGCCCCATTTACCCTGACTTGGAAATCCTCAGTTTTGTCCCCGCTCCCAGCTTAAGTGTACCAAGAGCTTGACCCACAGGCCTGCACTCAAGTCCCAATGTTTTTATCAGAGAAAGTCCTGCCCACTGAGGCCTTTACCTAAGCAGAAACCTGACTTTCCAGCCACCTGAGTCTGGTCTAGTCCTGAGTACCTGCATGGAGGCATTGCCCTGCCTAGTTGGGGTAAGACTAAACACACCAGCTGAAGCCCTGAACCCAGTACCTCACGACTCAACCAGCTCCTCTGCCATCTACTTTGTCCCTACAGCCCACCCGCCGCTTCTGGACTTGCTTCGGTTTCTCTGGCCCAGGTTGGCTGGAGCTTCACCTTCTCCAGGTTCATCCTGCTTCAGAGCGCCTGAGAGCAGCCTAAGCACCCAGAACCAAGCTTTTCTTTCACGTTCCAACCTTTCCTTACCTCCGCCTGGGCATTGACACAGGTGTACCGCCTACCCTTCAGCTGGCTGGGGCACACACAGCTTTACAGGGCCTGTAAATCACCAAGGCCTCCAGAGCACACATTCTCTTACCTGTTCCCTGGGCCGTGAGATGCCAGCATCCATTTGTACCTCCTCTCCGGCCCTACCACATACATGTCCATCCTCCCACCCCAAAGTGACTGCAGGAGAAACTGAGGCAGCAGAAGGTAGAAAGAGAAAGAACAGGCCTACTTTGGGTAACTGATGTCGTGATATAAAATAATATATGTCCCCACTTTATGATGGGGTTACATCCTGACAAGCCCATGGTAAGTCGAAATGTCATTCAACACTCCAGTCTCCTGAGCTACAGTGGAGAGATGTCACACACCGAGGTGGCACTCCTTGTGATACTGACTTGTGAAGGAACTATGGTCTCCCTGCCTCCCTCTGTCCAGTGTCTTGAAAGGTGATCACGCTACAAAGTGCTAGCCTAAGAGAAGATTAAAAAATAAAAATCTGGAGCCCAGATTCTATTGAACGCTTATGTCTTTCGCGTCACCTCTAAGTTGTAAAATGGCAGGTGGAGCCCTCCTAAAGAAGACACGGACTTATTTCACCTCAGACTTCTGCTGTCCGTGCCTACCGCAAGAATTTGTGTGTAGATTCAGAAAACCTTTCAGACAATCTGCAGGAAGTACATTCACACACGAAACTTCAAGAAAAAGACAAGAACGGGCTAGTTTTTCCAGAACAATCTCTTCACGACTTGACAATTCAACATTTGCCCCAGACAGTGCGTTACACCAGTCAGCCTACCAGGAAAGCAGGAACGCGCCTGCCCAGGTGCTCAGGGCCACTCCTTTGGGGAGTTGTCCCTGGCAATGCTGCTACAGTCCCCTCCTTTGCCCTTCCACCCTTTCCTAATCCCTTTTTGAGACATACGAAATTCTAGCGCGAAGCCCCGCCTAAGTGTCTAAGATGTTAAGTGCCAGGTAACCGGAGCATCTGGTGACCTTCGTATAGGCCTGTCTTTGGTGTTCTGTTCTATGAACCTGACAACATCCAACATATAAACCAATGTGAGATTCGACTTGCAGATAAGTCTTTGTCTATCCGCAAAGAGCTACAGTACTCAATGGCCGCTTGGGCAGCCTCCTTGGCAGTGCACATAACTGGCTGATTATGTCACCCAAAGGGACCCAAAGACTTTGTTTTCCACCAAACATTTGTGTCTCAAATTTGTACTGTCCCCCACTCTAGGCTAAAGAGAAATCCATGGAGTACCTTTGGGGAACCCCAGAGCCTGGTAGCCAGGATTTGCACTAGCCAAGGCATCATGGCCATCACAACTGGAGATTTATTTGACCCCAAAGCCACTGGAGATGAGTGGCCCCTCAACTTCCACGTCTTCCGATCGTCCCATATTCATGTTGGTAAAACCCATTCTTTAGGTGTCAATCTGTTGCCAGGGAATTTGAACTTGATCCTGCCTTGGGCCTAAGTCATACGGTAGATGGCTGGAAGCCCTGGCCTTGTTTGTGGGTGCTATCACAGCTCAGCCCCTCCGGCATCATGCTCACAATCAGCACTGCATCTGTCAAAAAAAAAAAAAAAAAAAAAAAAATTTAAAAAAGAGCTGTAGGAGCTAACGGCAAGGGGTGGAAGACCACTCAAGTGTCCCAAAGAAGAACAAAGGAGACACAGGCTGGGTGACAAAGGCCTACTCTCCAGACAGCTACCCTGGGGTACAACTCTTTTCCCTCTCTAGAAAATTCCTGTGTGCCTCCAAGCTCCCCTGGAGAGAGCTGTAAGGGTGGGTTATGACCGACCATCAGGGTCGGAACAAACTTGGTTCCTCCTGCTAATTCTGGTCTCCTGAACACTGCCCTTCAAGAACCAAGTCTTGCAAATCCTAGTCCAGTCACAGAGACTAAGAGGAGGCAGGATCGGCTTATTGTCCAGTAATACAAACAGAAACACCATTCGGTGAAGCAGTTACTATGTGTATATACTTCATACATGTGCTTACATGTATGCCTGTGCTTTTACACACACACCCGTGACTGAGCACTGGACACCCAGACCAAACTTTGGAAAGATACCTAGCCAGGTAAACTTCTACCCTATTTATTGTTTCTTGTTATAAACCTGGCCTAGTGTGATAACAGAAGCCCTGGTATTGCCAAACCACTCCTTTGGGGAGTTGTCCTGGGCAGAGTTTACCAGCTTTGCCCTCCTCCTAAGGTTCTTGCCCTTTCCTAAGCCTTTTACGTCACTCTCTCCCTTTTGCCCAGCATTCTAAATCCTAGAGATAAGATCACCAAAATGGTTAAGACGTTAACTGACACATAAGCTTTGGTCAACTTTACAGAACCGAAAGTTTCCGGCCACCCTTGTAACACCTCTCGTCCATCTCTAGTTCTGCACATTCACTAACAGAAAGCATGTAAACTGGCCAAGTCTTAGCCTGCAGAAACAAGATACTCCGGGCTAAAAAGAATTACAGGAGCTAGTTCCAGGAGATGCAGGACCATTACGATGTGTTGAGAAGAAAAAGAAACAAGAGACATGCCCTGAGTGATGGAGACCCCACTCAGGGTTCTGCCCTGCCCTTTCCTCCCTACGGAATCCCTTTGCACTCATAAATCCCACAGGTGGAGCTTTGACAAGGAGCCTGTCCATCTCCTTCCAGCAACCTTTGGATAAGCCCGATTCCTTCCCACTAATTGCTTCCCCAAACATTGGCCTTCAAGCAGTGGTCAGCATGGACTTTACTGTGGTACCATTCCATGGTGAAGCAAGGAATGAGCAAACAAGAGTTGATAAAGACAGAGACAGAGATGATGAGGAAAGGTAAGAGAAGGGAGAGAGGGAAAAGGACAGGCCCCTCAACACTTTGACAAAGCCTCTGCAGAAAATAATATTTAAAAAAGAGAGAGGGGGAGGAGGGAGAAAGGAAGGGAGGGAGGGAGGGAGNGGAGGGAGGGAGGGAGGGAGGGAGGGAAGAAGAGAAAAGAAGAGAAAAGAAAAGAAAAGAAAAGAAAAGAGGAAGAGGGTGGGGGAGGCGAAACCATCTAGTATGCTAAAATTTTAGAATGGGAGATTGAGAGGTGAGAGGAAATGAAGAAGAAATGAAGGGGCCCTGCTTCTTCCCCAGCTCCTTCCTGGGAGACTCACGCCAGGGCTTCCCGTTTGTTTTCCATGACTAAAGCTCACAGGTTCTGCCTACTCACAGCACTGGCCGCTCGGCTGCCCCTCCCCAGTTCCTCCAGCTTGTCTGCAGTCCAGTGGGCCTGCAGACTTGGCACACAGAGCACCCACCTGCCTTTGTTCCACCCACCAAGAGGGCTGCTGGGTCTCCAGATGTTAGCATGGAAGGGTCTATCCATCTCCTGGCCTGCTTGGCATGTGTCCTCCAGATGGGTGAGTTCCCCTATTCACTCTGACAGGGAGAAGAGAAAGCCTCAGCTGTGGTCATACCCCCCTGGAAACTAGCGGCTGAGTTTGCTGATAGCCTCCAGGTCTATGCAGGAGAAGAGCTATGTAGTAGAGGGCTGTGGTAACAGAGGGCAGAGGACCAAATCTTGGCCTTCCTTGGGTTTCTAAGTGACTTGGGGCAGTGCCCTGATTTCATGAGCCTCGGTGTTCGCCACTATACAAAGGCCACGTCCCTATCATTTGCTATGAGGGGAATAAATCTCTAGAATGAGGAAGAAGGGGCTGGTTCTGGACAGACTTTGGGTGTTGCTGTCACCCAACTGCCCCAGGAACAAGGAGAGACAAGGAAGCCACAAGCTTGCGCTGTGCTGGGACAAGGATGAGGGTGGCTCTGTGTGGAGAATCGGACCAAGGAGAAAGGCTGCATCAACGTCCTAGTGGGAACGCTGTAGGGTGAGTGGAAACTCTTCCCTGGGAACGGGACTTCTCAAGGGATGCAGGGTCTACCTGCTCCAGAATCAGGGGAGCATGTGAGTTAAGATGCAAATTCTTTGCCTCCATCCACGACCTGCAGAATCAGAATATCAGGCAGCAAGACCCAGGACCCAACATTGCCAGTCACCATCTCAAGAGATGCCAATGCCCGGGGGAACTGAGAGTGTCACGAACAAAACTCAGAAGCCCTTCTCTCCCAGGCAGTTCTTCCCCCAACCCGCCTGGGACATCTCTCTCAAAACCCCTACTAAACAGTGTCTATGCCATCGCGTGCATGACCACCACATGCCCCATGCTGACATCATGGCAGTCCGAGTTGTCACTCAGCTTTCCTGGTGCGGGGCTCTGGGAGAGCTGATAGATGAACCTTGGTGTGTGTGGCTTCAGCTTACTTCCCCCGACTCACATCCTGCCATCCCACAGTGGTAGAGATGGGGTTCAGTCAGGGCTGTTTCTTCCTCAGGGCTCCAACTCAGAAACCATTCTGTGAGGGTGGGATCTAAGGGGTTAATCATGCCCCGACCTGGACTGGCGGATGTGTGAGTTACTAAGGACTCAGAAATTGATATCTGGTACCAACTTCTGATACCGGTCCTGGTATCTGCGAGCTATGAGCAGGCCAATTGTCTAACTCTCATAAACCCTATAGAACTGATCCCTGTCACCAAGATCACAAAGGCCAGGAGGAAATGGGAAGGCTGAATGAGAAGGTCTGTCCTGCTCCCAGCAAGCATTGTGGGAAAGTTTGCTCAGCTGAGGAAGTCCTACTCAGGAGGATGAGAGCAGAGCAGAACCAGAGTCACCAGGATAGGGACAATACACTGTGGTGGGCACTGGCTGCAGGCCAGGATCAGCCTGTGTCTCTGCCTCTTTCTCCATCATCTCAGGTGACTGAGACACAGCCACAGCCACATCACACCCACGTGGCTGGAGAAACAGGGGCAATGGAGACTAGCTAGGCCTTGTACTCACACCCCTTAGACTCACCCGTCCTGGAACTTTCTAGGTCTGTCATTAAGGAACAGAATTCCTGCTACCCACATCTTCCTCCTCTCAACTTTTCTCCACTGACAAGCTGCTCTTCCACCTACAATGTCAAAGAGATAATGGCTAGAGTGAGCTGAAGGGCAGGAGAGCCAGGAAGGATGAGGTCCATAGAGAGCAGCATACCCACACTAGACCTGCTGCCTGTTGGTGAAGTTTGATGACTAGGCCGGACATAGCTTTTTGCCTCCAAATCTTGCCCTCTGGATGCCACAATGCCTGAGACCACCACTCCGGCCACTCTTGAGAATGCCCCTGCTAGCATGCCCAGGTGGTTCTGAGAGAAAGCGTTCCTTACCAATAACTGTGCACTTCAGGCTGGCTCCAGGTCTACTAGAAATGTTAGCACCGGAGAGAGGGTACAGGAGCTCCAGTCTTTGATGGCTTCCAGTTCTCACTGGCGTGATGCCATCCCTCCTGGACACTCAGTCCTTTAATGCAACCATTGGGGAAACATCAAAAGATGCTTGAGTAGTTCCCGCAGGGACTCCACCACAAACTGCGAAGCAAGGAGTGTGACTGTGTCCAGCACCTCACAGATGGTCAACACAGAGTCCCGGCAAATCCTACCTCCTGTTTCACTGTGGGACTGGAGGAAATCGTTGGCCAGCTGCAGCCGAAGCAAAGGTTTCCAATTCTGATCCAGTTTCAATGCTCCTTGCCCACGTTGGGCAGCTGGGTTCCTTTCCCTTCCTGCTTGACGAATAGTGCATCACAATCATGAGGATGTGGCCACTTTGAGGGCCACACAGGGAGCATCGGTGGACTTCATGGTGCACAGCTGTGCAGCTGTTTACTGGTTAGCTAGTGGCTTACTCTTAAGCACTTAAAGTTTTTAACTAGATATAGTTCTAAAATATTTTATGTACTGTCAATTTTACCCAAATTTGGCTTTAAGATTTAGGGTTTTTTTTTTTTTCTTAATTACTTTCTTGGTTGTTTGAGAGTCTTACCGTACAAACCCGGTTGGCCTGGGACTTACCACGCAGCCTAGACTGGCCTTCAATTTAAGAACTCCCTGTTTCTGCCTCCTAAGGGGTAGCACCATACATTTTAAGAGCTGGGGAAAGACAATGCCAGGTGGGCGTCATCACCATGACTGCGTCTCTGGGAGGATGATATCATGGCAGTGAGAACTGGCATGCCTTAAATGACCAGCCAGACTTTTGGGTTTAGCCACTTGAGTAAATATCCAGAAATAGTATTTCATGGAGGATCTAGCAAGTCAACAAGCATAGAGTCTCACCTAAGGTCCCACTGTCGACTTCAGAGCCAGGGCTGGAGCCCCTGCCTCTCCAACCAAAGGATACATCATTGAAACAAGACAACATTGAGGAGAACGAACTTTCATCTGGTACACCTGCTACACAGCCCAATGCAGGGTCATGATGAGTCAGAACCCTCTGGGTTTACTCCTCCCCGAATGGCACACTATAGGTTGGCCCCTTCAGTCCCAGGGCGCCTTTTAACAGAGCACCTGTCACCCAGCCTGATACAAGGTCCTGGTGAGTCATGACTACAGCTTTCCTATTGTAAACAGTGCTTTTACTACATCATTTCTGCTCCGTGATTTCACTGTGTCCATGGACTCCGTCCAGGCTTGGTGAACGTCAGCTGCCATTCCTCGCTACCTTAGATGACCTTACAGACAGAAGCCACTTCATAGCTTTTCAGTGTATATTTTCCTTACCAGAGTGGGGATGGTCACCTGAGTACAGCTATGCCAAAGCTGACATGCTCCCACCATCCCTGGTGGCCACCGCTGGAGGCTGATACTTTGAGCAACAAGAAGAATGTGGGCTTCCCATTGACCCTGGAAGTTGCCAGACACAGGCAGACAGAGAGACTCCACAGAAAGCTCAGTGATCCCAGTCAGGAGTCATCCTGGTCACTTCTTAGCCAGCAGTCAAGAGATGCTAGCGGCAATGGCAAATGTCACAAGATGCCAGGAGCTAGGATCTCTGCCAAAGCAAATGTCTTTGTTCTCTGGACAATACCTACTAAGGACTGCTCACCTTCACCTTGAGTCCTCTGGGCGGGCCCATCTAAAGGACTCTGGGAGTCCAAGCATCGCTCCTTTGAACCCACTCAGCAAGAAGCCCATATCTGCTAATGGGAGCCAAGATGGAGCTTCTAATGGAAGGGTCTCTATGCTAGAGCAAACACCAGCTGGCTCTGCCATTCAGGTCCCATTTTAGAACACTCCACAGCAGAATACAGATCCGGGTGGAATTCACAGGGGCGTGGTTGCCTGACCTCAGAGCAACCAAGTTAAGCCTCTGTTACCACTTTCTCATGGCAAAGCTGCCTGAAGTAACACACCACCAGCGTGCCTGCCCAGGCAACAGAGCCTTCACTACAAGCCTACCTGGGATTCTAGCCGCCTCTGCCCACTTTGGGCATTGCTGTGGTATTTCAGAGTTCATCATAGCAGTGGGTAGCTAGGGGAATTTCCCCCAAACTTCAAGGCAAAGGTGTGATGTTTTTATTGCAAGCCCCCTCCCCCTGTGGGGACTTTTACCTTTAAAAACCTTAAATGTTGCTATCGCCACAGGCATGACGGGCAATGAGGCATAAGGAACGGTGGAGAGGCGTTGCAGACCTCCCGTGTGAGCTAAAAAGGCATCTGAATGCGTCGTGCAGTCCGCGCAGAAGGCTGGAGAAGTAGCAAGGGGATGCTGTATTTTACTGCATTTAAAATACTGCATTAAAATGCTACTGCAGCCTTTTAAGAACCTGGTTCTCTCTGGACTTTAAAATCGTTCCTGTGAAGCTTATCTTATTTTTGCTTGATCAAATAAACCGAAGATTTTTCCGCGGGGAACAAGAGAGACTATTTTACAACTGTTCTTAAGCAACTGAGCACGGAGGTTAAGATAGGAATATAAATAAGGGAGGAAAAACCAGCCAGGGCAAGCCAAGTCTCTGCTACTAGTTGGTCACCAGCTGAGCTAGCCAAGTCACTTTGGGCTCTACAAGCCTCAGTTCCTCTTCTCTCTAACGGGCTATTTAATGGTGGCGTCTCAATGGGTTGTTGCGTGTTTTAAATGAGATGAGGAACGACTCCCAGTAACCCCGTTCTTCAGTACTTTGGCCTCCCTGTCCCCTCATGTTTTCTCTGCCCCTGTGATGTCCATGACTCATGTTTTCTTCTTCCGCCTTTCTGAGACTCCCCATGTAGCTGAAAGTGGCCTGGATTCCCAGTGCTCCTCTTCCTGCATGCTTGAGGTGCAGGCCCACACCACCACGTCTTTCAGGTGTCACATCTTATGGTTTGGTTCCCTGTTGCCCCAGGTCTTGTGGAATTACCTACATTCCCTGGTCTCTGCACACAGGCACCTCCTCTCTGATGAGCTCCGCCATCCATGTCTGCTATGCATAATCCCTGTATACTCTCTACACCAGCCCCCTCCTCCTGACAGCCTGACCCCCTTTCATTCCAGAGTACAGGGGAGAGATGCCAGAGCCAGACTTGGGGGCTCAGAGAAGAATATTCTGGCGGGGCTAACTCCACAGAGAACAGGGGTTGAATGGGAGGGCGCCGGTGAGTGAAAGTGGGCTGGGAACCACGTCCAGACAAAGGCAACATTGTTTGTGTCCATCAGAAGAGCACCTGGCAGAGTGCCCCGTAATTACATGTTCACCGATCTTTCTCCATCTAGCTCCAGCAGGCTGACAGGGTATCCTGTCCATCTCTGTCTCTGCGGCTTACAGCCCAGCACCTGGCATGGAGTGCGGAAGTATCCAATAGACGTTTGCTGGGTCCATGAATGCACAATAGCAACAATGTGCAGACAATCACGGCCTGACCCCAGGGCCCGCAAGATGCAAAGATCGGAAAAAGGTCACAGAGGGTAGGCAGCACAGGGAAGCTGAAGTAGGAGCTGAGGGTGCACACCCATAATCCCAGCTTCTAGGAAGATAAGGCAGGAGGACTGTGAGTCCAAGACCTGTTTGGACTACATAGTGGGACCCCCATCTTAACAACAACAAAAACCAGAAGAGCATAGCAGTACATGCTGGAATAGCAGTACATGCTGGAATAGTAGTACATGCCTGTAGTCCAGCACTCAAGAGGCTGCAGCAAGGAACTGACTAAATTGGAGTCAGATTGGAATATACAGTAACTTCCAGGCCAGCTTGAACTATGTTGTCAGAGAGACAGGCCTGAGGAAACTCCTGAGACTTTTCCGCTAGAAGTGCTGACTGGATCGGCACGATCTTCCGTTTTCTCAGATTTGAAAAGCAGCCCTTTGATCACTACCAACAAACAAGTTCTTACTCGGGATAAATGTCAAGCCCTCCACTTGAATTCAAACACGTAATTCAACTTGTCCAGAGCAAGAGATTAAGCCAAAAACAACAACAAAAAAGTGGCATTTAAAAAAAAAAAAAAAAAACCTGTGCTTTAACTTGATGGTCTTCTGGGGGTGCACCCACAGCAGAACTCAACTGGAGGCGGAGCACCCCAGCTCAAGGTGCACAAGAACCAAGAGCTCTCTGTAGAAGCCACACACACTAGGGTCCCCTGGAGCAGGGTTTGAGCAGAAAGGGAAAGGGGGGAGGAGCAGGGGGGCGGGGATGATCCAATCTTTCCCATCAAGAGAAGGTAATGAGTCCAAGAGTAGCCACAGTGAGCTCCCGCTAGCGCCAGCTTGGGCTCGTCCGTGCTTGTCCGCGCTCCTGCAGCAATGGCAGATCTGGACTGCTTCTGTGCAGGGGTGCGCTCATCCACAGGTGCACGGGCTCCATGGGAGATGGGCCACCAGGGGTGGCCTGAGGGTATTCTTACCCAAGAGGCCAATGAGGCTGGCTGACCACAAAGAGCAGTGGGCTTAGCATGGCGGGACACGGGGCATGATGACAATCAATGATGGACTGGTTTTTTCTTACTCGCCTGACGTAGGCCTTCATTTCCTCATCTCTAACAATCTTTCTCTGTCTCTTGGATGCTTTCAGGGCAGACGGCATGGTGTATATAAAGGAACCGTGTATAATACAATTCTAATTATTCCTTGTAAAGGTCCCTTTTGTGCACTGTGCCCCAGGGCACTGGCTAGGCAGGTTCGGCTGCCTGCCTCTTCTTAGGGAGGTACCACCCCTGGGATAAGCCTCTGGAGGCTGAGCACCTGCATCCTCAAAGCCACAGCAACACGGGGCCGGTGGTTTGCCAGCGCTGGGTGAAGTGGAAGCAGGGTTCAGCTTCCAGTCCTTAGCTCCACATTGTGAAGAATAGTAACTGGATAGAAGACAGGGCAAGTGAGTCTAGAAGCGACCCCGTACAGAGAGCAAGGAGGCAATACAGCCCGTACCACTCTGACCTGTCTTTCCCTGCCTGGGCTGCATGTAGAAAGCCAACCTGGGACATAGTCCTCTTGGGCTGACCCTGACAGTAAAGGTTGAGTTCCTACCAACTCAACAGTGTGCTTCAAAACACCGCCCCTCCAGGGCCTTGGTTTCTCCCCTGTAAATGAGACCGTGGTTTCTCCCCTGTAAATGAGACCGTTAATGCCTTCAGACGCATCCACAGCTTCACGCCTTTAAGGCACTGTAATGTAGGCTGTGGGTGCAGGCGGATCTGACTTGAACACTGATTTGGTCTCGACTTGGCCAGTTATTTAACTTCTTTGTGCCTGCGTTTATTAACATGTAACATCTATGCTCATCTCTAGGATCACTTGTGAAAACTGGAGATGCTCCGGCGGATTTGCTCAACACAGAGGCGCACAGTAAGTGATTTTTATCATCTTAAGGATCCTGTTACCACGGGATATCGTAGTGTTTCGGGAAATGCACAGGTTTCTGATAGAGAGAAATGCGAAAGAGTTGTGTCTGTCACTAGGTCACACGCCAAGAAAGAGGCAACCCCAAGGAAGAGTCTGGAGAAACATCCGTCCCATCCCCCTTCCCTTAGTCATGGTAGAGTAGGGAGATGGCTCTAAAGCCAGGAAGTGGGGTTCCAGCCGAAAGGAACCGATTGCTGCCTGAGAGAGGGCGTGGGGTGGGGGCGGGGAAGATGCCGCCAGAGGCCAGGAACCCGGTCTCCTCAGGCTAGGTCTGATGTGTCCCTGGCCGGCAGGCGTGCCGGAGCAGCGCTGGTCCATGCAGGTGCCCTCCGAGGTGAGCGCGGAGGCGGGCGACGCGGCGATGCTGCCCTGCACCTTCACGCACCCGCACCGCCACTACGACGGGCCGCTGACTGCCATCTGGCGCGCTGGCGAGCCGTACGCCGGCCCTCAGGTGTTCCGATGCACCGCGGCTCGAGGCAGCGAGCTGTGCCAGACGGCTCTGAGCCTGCAGGGCCGCTTCCGCCTGCTGGGCAACCCGCGCCACAACGACCTGTCACTGCGCGTCGAGCGCCTCGCCCTGGCGGACAGTGGCCGCTACTTCTGCCGCGTGGAGTTCGCCGGCGACGCCCACGACCGCTATGAGAGCCGCCACGGGGTCCGGCTGCGCGTGACCGGTGAGGCGGACTGGCGGCGGAGGAGGTGGTACCCAACTTCCCCGCATCCCTGTCCTGAGAGCCTACAGGGTGCCAGGGAGGCCTCTGAGAACTTGGTAGAAATGCAGAATTCAGATCCCAGGAAAGGCTGGACTGGGGCGGGTAGGTGGTGTCCCGATGCTCATAAACACCGGTAACTGGCAAGGAAAGAGAGAAAAACAACCAATAATCCTAACCTGGCAAGGGGTGCAGGAGGAGGTACGCTCCCTGCACTGAAAAATTTCTCACCCCAACCTTTGCACATCCCTTGCCCCTAGAGCATTACTTACAATTGGCCCCTCCCTGCGGTTGTGACCCTTTGGCGACCACCAGCTGAAAGCCCAGCAGTCCAAGTAATACACACGTATTAGTTTGCCAAATCTCAGTGACCCCGTAAAACAAAGGCAATTGTGATCACCAATTTACATATGGAGAAACTGAGGCAAAGAAGAAAAATAGCTTGCTAAAGCCACTACTGCAATAGGACCCAGATAGCCTGGCGCCCAGGTGTCCCTCTCTTCTCTCTGGGCATCCCCACTACCTCACCGGTGCTTCCATCTTGGAAGTCGCACCCCTTGCCTTCTCAAACCATAGCCTCTCTCACGCTCCCGGGGCGCTGTCCTCTGCCGGGTGACCCGCGCCCGCCTTCTTCCCCCGCAGCTGCACCGCGGATCGTCAACATCTCGGTGCTGCCAGGCCCCGCGCACGCCTTCCGCGCACTCTGCACGGCCGAGGGGGAGCCCCCGCCTGCCCTCTCCTGGTCCGGCCCCGCCCTGGGCAACAGCTCGGCGGCCGAGCAGAGCCAGGGTCACGGCTACCATGTGACCGCCGAGCTGCCGGCGCTGACCCGAGATGGGCGCTACACGTGCACAGCAGCCAATAGCCTGGGCCGCGCAGAGGCCAGCGTCTACCTGTTCCGCTTCCGTGGCGCCCCCGGAGCCTCCACTCTGGCGCTCCTGCTCGGCGCGCTGGGTCTCAAGGCGCTGCTGCTGCTTGGTGTTCTGGGTGCGCGAGCCACCCGCCGACGACTAGGTGGGTGCACCCCAGATCTGGGTGGGGACGAAGGGGAGGACAGGGGCTCCCTCCCCTTTCTGGCGGACCATCCTGCGTGGCCCATCAGAGCATCCTTTCTCCACCTGGATCAGCTCAGTTCTTTCTCTGCCTGGAGCCCGGGAGGCGGGACCTGCTTGAGGCTCTTTGCAGCGTGGAAGGCGAGGCTCTGCAAAGTAGCTTGCTTTTTGCAGAGTCACACAGATGGTGACCCACCCAGTCCTGTCAGGTGTAAAGCAGTTTTTTGTTGTTGTTGCTATTGTAGCTGCTGATTTTTGATTTTTGTTTTCAACCACCACACTACAACTCAGTGTCCCATAAAGGTAAGGCTTCCCCTTACATTGTAACAAGCATCTTGCGGCCCTGAGGTTATGCATCATGATGCTGGCCATACGAAGATGCCAGGATGTGATTCCCTGCCAACCCATAAGAGGCTGAGTCTGCAGAGCTTTGCGGTAGCCCCCTAAGAAGGGTTCCCACAGACCCCAGGAACTGTAGAAGGCAGAGAACATCTTGCTATTCTGAGGCCTTAAAAAAAAGAGAGAGAGAGAGGCGAGAACTTATCTGAAAAATGTGAGGAACGTGAGCTTGGAAAACATGAATGCACACCTGGCTGGGGAACTCAGCACTTTGAGAGAGGCTCTCCACACAGCGTCCCAGCCCTTGATGGGGTGTCTGCTTGATGAGCAGCCCAGAGAGGGAGGGACTTTCTCAGAGTTCTTCGGTTTCTCCAGACCAGGAACATCAGCCTCAAACTCTCCAGGGATGAAATGTGGAATTTACACGGTGCTAACCTCACTGTGACCCTGCCATTCTTGCTGGTCTCTCGGACTTAATGAACATGTTGTTTCAGGGTCCTCCCTCAGAAAGGCCGCTTTGCTCTGTGGACCACATCCCCCTTAGCCCACCAGTTAACTCCTATTCGTCTATGAGAGTCAGGCTTCACAGCCGCTTTGGCTAGCTGTCTATCTGCAGCCTGTTGCATACTCCTGGGGACCCCTGCTCGCAGTGGGGTGGGGACCACGTCACGCAGTAGAGCATGCGGCTAACATGTATGTAAGTTGGAGTCTACAGTGTAAAATCACACCTGCTCTTTCTCTGTATCCCTCACACAGATCACCTGGTCACTCAGGATACCCCTCCACGGTAAGTGCTATTGCTGCCCTTCCTGCCCCACCCCTGCCTGGTCTCATTGGCCCAGGGACTGGTAGTAGGGGGAGAAAGAATAGGTCTGGGATAAGGTTAGAGCAGTAACCTGTATCAGAACCTGCATCATACCCAAAGCACCCTACACCCCCATCCCTCACACCATTCTCAGAACAGAGGAGGCCAGGCTGGCTTGGGAAGTCAAGGACCTCCCCAAACACTGGGTGGTAAGTCAGTGTCCTCCTGTCTGCAGGTCTCAGGCTCAGGAGTCCAATTATGAGAACCTGAACCAAATGAGTCCCCCAGGCCACCAGCTGCCACGTGTTTACTGTGAGGAACTTCTGGGCCACCATCATCCAGTCGTGCACCGTGAGAAGTGAAGGACAGTACCAGGCTAGACCTGTAGAGCTCCTCCTAATTCCCCAGGCTTCTTGGCAGCTATGGGCCAGGCGACTTCCAAGGGGACACAGGACCCTGCTGACAGAGATTTGGAGCCAACAATCTGGATGTGTGTATCTATACATACATATACACATATGTCCACCTGAGCCTTAGCATGAAACTTCCCTTGTTTTTTCTTACCTAGAACTATATAGTAAAGCAGATGGGAAACTAGCCATAAGGTCTGGAGGTCCAGGCTCCAGCCTGCTCTGGCACCAACTTTGCAGTATAGACCAGGACACATTCTTGACCTCTCTAGGACTCAGCCTCTCCATGACTGGCCAGTTTGTCTGAACTGAGGAAACAGTAGATCCGAAGGAGCTGTGTGAACTGCAAACCTATCGCAACGGTGGGCTCTGGACAAGCAGAAATTAGATCACTGCAGCTCTGCGCAGCCTTGGGAGAACAAAGCACTCCAGAGAACAACTGGAACAGCAAACCCTGGAAACTTAGTAGCAAGAAGAGGCCTGGAGCCTCCTGACGTCTCCCCAGGGACCGTCCCAGCCCTCTGCCCAGCTGCGATCATGTCAACAGATCCACACTGACTTCAGCTGGGACCCACCAGGTGAAGGAAACTGGAAATCCATTGTCTCAAGCATCTGAAGGCTTTGAGACATATGCCAAGAACTGGAAGACCAGAAGGGGCACTGGGTTCTAGTGAATAAGACAGCCGTGGCTCTGACCTCTCTCTCAGCGTCCACCCTCCAAGGATGTGCAAAGTCCAAGAGCACCGCCCCCTCTCCCTGCCTGTCTTCCATCCCATCCAGGCGAACTTCAAGAGCAGTGCTTTCCTTGTTTATACTTCAGTGTGCGTTTGTTGATCCTGATGAAGAAGAGGTGTACTTGGGACCAAGTCAGCCCTGAGACAGGAGGCTAAAGAGACCATGTTTGTCCAGGGACCATCTCTACAGGTTGAGGACAGTAGGCTTCCAGGCTTTCCTCGACACCAGCAAGAGCTGTTAAGAGATCATCACAAGAGTTGACATCTGGACCTCTTTGCAGAGGGGAGCTTTAGAGCATCTCCAGAAAGAGACTTGCATCCCCAAGGGTAAAGATAGGGGCATGGTTACCGTGAGGATTAGCACATCATTGGCCAAGAGAATTCCATGAATTGCTACTTACATACTTTGTTGTGTTATGAATTCATATTTGAGATTATGAGACTGGAGATGACATCATCAGTCAGGGGGAGTTAGGCCGTACTGCTGTAACAAGCCCTAAATCACGGTGGCTGGAAATGGTATTTGTTTTGCACTGTATTAGGGTTCTCTAGAGGAACAGAATTTATGGAATGAATACACACACACACACACACACACACACACACACACGTGTAGGGAGAAAGGAGGAGGGATTTATTAGGATGGGTGGGTGACAGGCTTGGTTCAGTTAGTCCAACAATAGCTGTTAACCAAAGGAAAGTCCAGGAATCTAGGAGTTGTTCAATCCACTAGGCTGGATGTCTCAGCTGGTCTGCAGTATATTCTAGACCCCCAAAGAAGTAGGCTTTAATGTCAGTGCAAGAATGGACTTGTCTGCAGAAGAAAGCACAAGCAGGCAATGAGAGCAAGCTTCTTTTTTCTGTGCCCTTCATATAGGCTGCTAGCAGCAGGTATGGCCCAGATTAAAGGTGGATCTTCCCATCTCAAAAGATCAGGATTAAAAGTGAGTCTTCACACTTTGAATGATTTAATTAAGAAACACCCTCACAGGTGTGTCCAGCCTATAATTCCACATATAGTCAAGTGGACAACCAAGAACAGCCACCACGCTCATCCCATTCCCGTTGCAGATTGGCGGAGAGGTTCATTGTTGTTGATTAGGAAACCAAATTGCAGGGATGTTGTCTCTGATGTTGTGAATTGCTAGACTGGAGGCAAAAAGAATCCTCTGCAAGGCAGTACAATCGTAAACAGTAGATGAGGAACACTAGGGAAATTTGTGAGAACACTGAGAATCGCCTCGGTTGGTAGCACAGTAATCCCTTCCGGAAACGCTTGGAAGCCACACAGGGAGTCCCAAAGCATGCAGTCTTGGGAAGGCTTCCTGGAAGAGCGTATGTGAAGATGGTATGCATTGGCTGTGCCGATGGGGGAATGGAGATTGGAAGGAAGAGACGGAGGGCAGTTGGAGCATAGGAACAATCCAAACAGAGATGTCATGGTATGGACAGTTATTTATTCCTGGAGCATGAAGGAAGGGACAGGGTATGGACATTCACCCCGCTCAATGGAGGGTGCTGCCCTGTTGTGGGGTACCCACCAGAGAATACCGCTCAGGCATGGTTTAAGCCAATAGGAAGTCTTTATTAGCCAGCTAGCAGCTACACTGGGTGCTCAGAACCCCAGTGTAGTATGAAGACTTTCTCAGGGTGAGCTTTTAAGCACAAAACCCATATCCTGGGCTGAGATACCTCAGTTAAGAAGAACAGTTAGCCAGAAGCAGAACTCCAGAAGCCGAAGGCAAGGTTAGCACATTCCAACTTTCCTAGAACTACGGACTTTGATGGATTCGCTCTTTGTTTTCTTTTCAGCGGGTAGTGCTGTGCTGACTTTTATGGTCTGAATGGTACTTTGATCATGGAGTCAGTTGTGCTAAAGTCTGGGGTCTTACAAAGGTTTGGGGGCCTGTTCCACCCCTAGCTGGGGTGAGGGTAACAGGAGTTGGCACTCAAGGGACAGACTGTGGTGCTAGGCTCCTGGTCCTGTTGTACAGGACTTCCTGCTGTCATTTGTCATCTCCCATGAAACCTGAGGCTTCCGTGTCGGGAACACCTGGGAGCTGTTTAAATAAATATCCATGCTGGCATTACCTGGCCCTCCAGACCCACGGGGAATGGAAGGGACTAGAACTTTAAACAGTATCTTCAGGAGACTTTACCCCCAAAGTTTTGGTGTTGTTTAATCTTCTTCAACCAACACACACACACACAGCCAGAAAAACACCCATGCGCCCACCCCCTCCACCAACATCACTCACAGGTTGCTGTTTCCTTACTGATGATCTGGCTGAACCGCCTGAGGATAAGCAGCAGATTTCCCAGTTACCCGCGAATCTAAACACCTTGAGGAACAGTACATTTAGTGACATTTTGTTACATTTAGTGACATTGTTACATTCACACCCATATTCACATTTCTCCAATCTTCCTCCAAATGTCTCCGCTTGTTTGTAACCAGAAAGCCGCTGATTCTAGGACAGCTGAAGTCAACTTTACTCTCTGGGATGTGCTGGCTACCAGCCTGGTAGTCCTTGCCATGATACCCACACTATGTGCAGTGGTCTTGAGAGGGAAAGTTGCAGCATCCTAAGAGGAATAGCCCTCGATGCTGGTTTCTGTGATGGGCAACAGGGAGCCCAAGGGGCACTGCCATCTCCTTTAACAGTCTGCCATGCTGCTCAGGGAAGCCTCCTGATTGGCTTCCAGAAAGAGTGGCCAAATGGCAGTGGGGAATACAGTGATGGAACAGCCTGGGACCATCCCGTCTGTACCCAAGGTCTAGATGGGACAAGATGCCTGTCCTCCCATATCTAACCTCTGAGTGGGCTCGGGTAGTCACTGGCAAGCAAGGACCAGAGACACAAGCAATAGTCAAAAGTGATCGCATTTGGGACTCCCTTCCGGCAGCCCAGAGATCAGGGAGAGGATCCTAAAGACACAGTGCTTCAAGACTGCACTTCCCAACATGATACAGACAACAAAGCTAGAACATTCTGGTTCTTCAAACCCTAAACCCTGTGGTTCTCTCTAGGAAATGAATCTGAACCCACACAAACATAGGGAGACACACCCCACACCCAGAAGGCCGTCCTTGAAAATTACTGTTACTCCAACGTGGGATCTACAGATCTTCCATCTGGAGTTGGTTTTTTGTTTTAACTCCACCCAGCTCCCAAATAAACACATGGAGACTTATTCTTACTTATGAACGCCCAGCCTTAGCTTGGCTTGTTTCTAGCCATCTTTTCTAACTTAAATTATCTCGTTTCTCTTTAACTATGTTTTGCCCCTGGGATTTTTAACCTTCATTTATCCTATATGTCTTTCTTTCCTTCTTACTCTGGCTGGCTGTGTGGCTGGGTGACTGGCTTCTGGCCTCCTCCTCTCCTCCTTGCTCCCTTCCCCAGATTTCTCCTTTTATTCTCTCTGCCTAGTAATCCCACCTATCCCTCTCCTGCCTAGCTATTTGCCATTCAGCTCTTTATTAGACCAATCAGGTGTTTTAGGCAGGCAAAGTAACACAGCTTCACAGAGTTAAACAAATGCAACATAAATGAATGTAACACATCTTAAACCAATATTACATATCCATCCACAGTTTGGTGCATTCCAGATGTTTCCTTAGTATCCATAAACCTAAGCGGGACCGGTGGCACACCAACACCAAAGGCAGACTTCTATGGTAGACCTTGAGCAAACTCAGTCAGGCTTTGCCAGACACTCTTGCATCTAAGCACCCCAAACATTTCTGTTCATCGCCCACCTTGTGGAACTTTAGCCAGCTTTCAAGGCCAACCTCCTGCAGGGGTCAGGGTCTTCCTGCAGGGGTCAAGGCCACCTTACAGCCGGTTCAGCTATCAAGGGCTGATACATATCAATTCCCACCATCCCCAAACACAGACACACACACACACACACACACACACACAGGATTTCTCTTTGAAACTAGGTCTTACCATTGTGATAAAATTTTTAAAAAGAATCATAGCTATCACAAATCAACTAACTTAAAAATTCTCTTAATGGGATTTATGTCTGAAAAGGCCTACCAACCAATTTGTTGAAAACCATGGGTCAGTCTCAACATGGGTAAATCACAATGTCCTTTATTTGCGGAATTTTACTTAGCTAATTCTCACATCTTCCAGTTTTTCACCATTAGACAAAAATGTGTCCTTCATACAAGCATGTAAGATATTATACAATGAATAAGAAGTAAAAATTGCCAAGTTAATGACCAAAATAAAACTGTAGTTTTAAAGGTCATACTAGACAGGCCACGAGATCATCTTGAACCACTGAAAGAAGAGATGTCTCGGTGCTCAGTGGTATTACACAACACATTGAAAATAATTTATAACCAACGTACCGTAGCACTTTCGTTACTAAAATAGGAGAAGCATAAGTTTTTTCAGGTTATTTTCAAGGGGCTTGAGGAACCTGGACAGAACGAACGGAATAAGCAGGTGACCTGCTCCTGGCCACATGATCCCTTGCATGCTCTAAAACAGGAGTGTCCTGGTGGAGCAGAAGAATCTGTTGAGGGTCAGGCTCTAAGCCAAGAGCCTCACCTGCCATGATCACCTTAGAGGAAGCTGTGAAGTTCAAACTAAAAAGCAGGGATGAAGTCCAGGATGTGGAACCGGATGCAGCTCAAAGAGCCTGGGCACTGGGCCCACCAAGCAGACACTCCATGGGACTGGTCCTGGGCGGTGACTGTTGCTAAGGGGTCTGCAGTTAACTCAGTGCTGGGCTAAGGTGCCAACTGCAGACCACAATGGAGGCTGGTTCTGCCCGTGTGTCCTAGAGGGATCCTCACTGCCTGGGCACAGGAGTGTGCAACTCTGGGCCAGGGGCTAGGACAAGGCAGCAAAAGCACCAAGGACAGGGGAGGCAAAGATGTGTTCTCTCGGCACCCGAGTGCTGACTGATATGTGCCCCTTGTGCTCCATTTGTCTCATCGCAGTTCAGGTGCTGCTAATCCTTGGCACGGCAAGCAGTGTGCACTGATTTGGGCACTTTGCCCCCCTCCCCAAAGAAGTCTTTTTGGATATCACGTTCGAAGAGTTTTAAGAATTCTGAGCACGTAACCTGGAGAGGACTATGGGATAGGGCAGAAGAGGTCAGTGACTGAGAAAGAGAACAGACCCTGCCTGCTGTTCCAGGCAGATCCACAACCACAGGCAAGGACAAGAGCTGTTCTGGCTCAAGATAAGCAGAACCAGAGAGCCCTGGCATTGCTGAGGCTGGGCTAGCAGTGAACTCCAAGACACTGGCCAGGTACAGAAGTTGAGGGTCCCCATTAAGGAGATCGAGGTATTTTCTGTGCTTTGACTTTGTCCATGATTCTAGACACTGCCGTCCACTTCAGAAGTAATTTTTCAAGTAAACACCTTTGAAAACCTGTATCAGTACTTGATTCAGACAAAGAGCTTAGGCACACCAGAGCTTAGACTGGTTGGCCTTGTTTGAGCAAGACTGCTGGCTAACTAAGGGGGAGCGTCTACAGTTCACATCTCCTGATACCAAAGAACCAAAAGACTTGGACACAATACAGGAGAGATGGACGCTTAACCAGCAAGATGCCAGTCATGTTTAGAGGCAAGGCCAAGTAGTGTAAGAGCTTTAGAAACGTGTCCCAGCCACTACCGCTCTGTACTGACAGCCACAGGACCTCTCTGCCGAAGCAGCCTTGTGCCTTCATTTGTTCTGGTGAGGCTGAGGAGCAGGGAGATGGAAGGGTGATGTCTCTGCCCCATGTGTGCACTCTGAGGTAGTGAGCGATAACTGGAGAGGCAGAGGCACTTCCACTGAGTCGGAAACTCCCCTTCTGTTCCTGGCCGGCACTTGCTGCTGTGGTGTGGGAGGTCCACCTTCTGCATTGCTCAGGCCTTGGCTTTGTGTGTTGAAAAGGACATCACTGTCTCAGATACCATGGCTATCACTCTGAGAGCTAACTATTATCCGAGCAAAGTCTGGTTCATCCTTCAAGCAGCAAGCCAGGCTCTCTGCAGGAACCTCTCTTTGTTCCACATTAGTTCATATTTTTAAACTTAGCCTAGTGCTTCTCATAGAATCTGAGGCAAATAACTCTCAGATATCAAGCAAAGATGAAAAGCCGCATTTTTACCAACCAGTTACAAAGCCAAATAAATTTAATATTGGGCATAAAAAATCTACATTAGCCTTCAATTCAGATTCATAGCTTATAATCAAAAGTTGATTTTATTGTTTATACATTTTACAGACAAAATTTACAAATATTATAAACTTCCAAGATGAACTGATTCTCTAAAATGTACACTCAAACATTTCACATTCTAGGGTACTGGTAACTTCCCTCTCCTCAGAGAATCCACACACACACACAGAGTCCTGGCCGCAGAGTCACTGCTGCTTGTTTACCTCTCGCAGCTTCTGAAGTTTTCTTCTATTCCAAGTGAAGATGACTGGCTTGGGAAATAGAGAAAAGCAAAAACAGAAGGCTGAGACATCCCCATGCAATGACACTTTGTGCCACAGAACAGGGAGGTTTTTATCAGTGTTCCAAGACATGTCTACTAAGTAGAACTGTTCTCCCGGCGAAGAGTTCCTGCAAGCTTCCAATGAAGGGGATGCGGCCCACTAATGGTATACCCCATCTTTACCCAAGGCGCTGGCTGGCCATCTAGAGATTTTACACAGATACTTCGAGCCATAACCCATGAGAACAAAGATATACTTTGAGCTGAACAAACAAAATTGGTTGAGGGCCATTTTTAAGAATTATAAATCTATCGATAGAAATCAAATTTCTAACTCCTGCAGGTAGTGGCATGAGAACACAGCAGTGTGCCAGACAGGCTTTGGCAATGCGACTGTGGGCAGAGACAGAAGGCACAGGGCTAGTCATGAAAAAACAGATTTCTGAAATTCCCTGACCTGGCCCCCTTCTCCCTGGGCTTGTGTCCAGCATGTCCGTGAGTTTCCCTTGAACTGAACCAAAGGAAGATGAACAAAGACCCCAGTGTCCCTTGACAGCAGGGCCTGCAGAGAATTGGGAGCCTCCACACAGAGAGACCCATGACCCGATGTGAAGGAGAAGCCCACGAGAGCTCGGAGCTGTGGCTGCAGCGTCAGTGCCGTCTGTGCTCCCACCACAGGGGCCACCACACACCTGTGCACAGCAGCCGTCAGCGCACGGGGCGCCACTTCCGTCACCATCTCTGCTGTCCACTGTGGTGAGGGCTAAGTGGCGTGTCTTCAGTATGACTCATTTTAGTTCAGCTTTTTTGTTTTTTGTCACCTGCTGAGACTCTTGACACACACCCCAGCCTCCTGCGGGAGCCCCAGGGTGCCCAGGTTACAGGTGTGTGCCACCTCCACTCTAGGAGACATACAATTCC